TCCATTTAACCTTGGTTAACCCTCAAAATTGATTAAAATTCGGAATTAGCCAAAATGGCCCTAGGGGCATTTTCGTAATTTTTCGATCCCGAACCGAAATTCCAATTTTTGTCTATACCGGTCCTATATATGCATGGCCAGCATAATATGGTGTCGGATCCTTAAAAAAAATCATTCTTTAAGCCCTCGAAAATTAGTCCGGAAATTTTGAGGGGTAAAACCGTAAATTCTCATTTTTCTCCCACCAAACGGCGTCGGATTAATTCCGATCCTTCACGGAACTTTCTCGCCATAAAATACCGGTTCTAAAAACCCAACTTGCGCCCCGATCGGCCCATCACGACCCCATGAACAATAGATCACAGCCACTGTTATTTTCTAATTTCCAATAATTAATGCCCGAATTAAATCCTAAGGCCCGCCATAAAATTTTCACTACCAAATCATACAATTCCGCACCTAACTTTATACAAATTTCGCCCAAAATCGCCCGTCGATACCCGAAGTCCAAAATTGTATTTAGAGCGCAACTTACTAAAATCAAACGAGTATTAACATACACTTCATTAGTCCCGGTAACGGGTCAAAATTCAGGATGTTACACGACGTGCCACGATTGACTGGGAAATTAATAAAATATGGTCACGTTAGATTTCCGGCGATCCAAATAGGAGTTGACACTTAAGTAATCATTTCTTTAAAAAAGTAGTACTTAAGTGATTCGAAAAAAACTTTTGTCACTAAAATGAGCGCCGTACATAAGTTTTGGCACTTTGAGTGTTCTTTTCCCCTTTTCCCTCTCAATTATTCTAGCAAACCTAGTGTCAATGAGAGAAGGGGGGATAAAAAGAGAGGAGGGTGGAGGCTTTTAGGTGATCTTGGTTTGCTAGAAACTGTCTAGCGTCCAACTTCCCAAAATTACCTTGAAAAATCAAAGGGAAAAAGCTACACATTTTTTAAACGGGAAAATTATTTAAAAAATCCTAAATATATTTTGTGGCAATCAATTTAGTTTAAAACTTTTCACCTAAACTTTTTGATGACTAACCATTTGGGCCAGAAATAGATGATATGGACGGTTTTTACAAATTTTTTAAAACTTTTTAAATTTTTTATTTGTTTCCTTTTTTCTTTTTCTTTTTTCCCTATTTCCCTCCATCAATTAAAAAGACTTGCAAAAATCATTCATGTCAACACTGGCCATAGGCCATAGGTCTAGGACGGCAAGCATTCGCGTCAACGATTTTTAGCCAAAATTGGCCGAAGGATTAGATTGACAAATCGTCAAAATGTTTAACACTAAATTTGTCAAATTGAAAAGTTAAGGAGCAAATTGACCGCCATACAATATGTTTCTGATTTTTTGGACAATTATCCCTCTCTAAGACCTTAGGACAGTTATAGTTACTACTGCTATTTAGAATTTGTTTGTTTTGCGGAAAACATTTTCCAAGAAAACACTTTTATCATTTTCCAGCATTTGGATAGCTTTGGAAAATGAGTTAACGGAAAATGTTTTCCGAGTTAACGGAAAAGGTTTCCTTACCAAAGCTTAAATTTAGGAAAATGATTTCCCCTTTGAAAGAACCAGAAAACGTTTTACGAAGTATAACTAGCTATCGGCACCTGGACTCAAAATTCTACGCTTGGGCACGAAAACCTCAATGTTGGTTCTTGAGTCCCGACATTCAGGATCAGATCTCGGTGGCCGAGCTCGAGACCTTGGTGTCTAAGGCCCGGGCCCCCAGTGCCCACACCCGGGTCCATCGAGGTTGAGCCCGAACCCCTAGTGCTCGTACCCAATGCTCCGATACCCAACTCGGGTCTATAAAGGCCGTGCTTAGGTCCCTGATGCTTGAGCTTTAGTATCGATCCTCCGGCTCGAGTCCACAAAGGCCGTGCGTAGGTCCTCGGCGCTTAGGCTCAAGTCCTTAGTTAATGAAACGTTTGTTCTTATAAAAATATATATATATATTTTTAAAATTATTTTTTTATTTTTTTAAAAAATAGAATTATTTTTTCTTTTCTTTTCTTTTCTTTTTTCTTTCTCTTTCTCTTTCTTTCTTTTTCTTTTTCTTTCTTTTATTCCTTTTTCTTTTTCTTCTTTCATGGCCAATCGCCGGCCATGGCGACGGCTGGTGAGCTCGCCCTAGGCCGGCGAGGTTGCGGCCTCTAGCGACAAACCTCGAACTTGCTCGAGGCCATCGAGCCTCAAGCTCACCCTAGGCTAGCAGCCCAGAGACCGCCAAGATGCAGACCAGCGAGCTCAAGGCTTAGTCGATCCAGGTGAGCCCGAGCTCCACCGAGGTTGGTGAGCTCGCGGCTCGCTAGGGTTCGGCCGAGGCCGGCGAGCTCGCGACTCGCCAGATCCAGGCAAGGCTGGCGAGCTCGAGCTCGCCTGTGGCCATCGCAGAGTGAGCCTTGAGCTCACTGGTGGTCGTCACCGGCCGGTCGCGGTGGAGGGAGGAGGAAAAAGAAAAGGAAAAAAAAGAAAATAGAAAAAGAAAAGAGAAAAAAATAAAAAAAAAATTAATTCCAAATTTTTTCAAAAAAAGAAAATAAAAAATAAAAAGAGAAATAAAATAATTAAAAATTCGATTTTTTTAAAATAAAAATATTAAAAATGTTAATTTTTTTTTGCCTGAAATAAAATCATTAGATTGAAATCATTTTCCAATGAAATCCAAACATTAGAAAACGATTACATCGTGTATCACCAAACAAAAGAAAATAAAGCGTATTCCTGAAAAATGATTTTCGGGAAAATATTTTCCTTTATCATTAAGTTTTTCGCGAAACAAACGCACCCTATCTGGGCTTCCATTCAAAGCTTATAAAACTTCTCATTCCGACCTTAAATATGCCACTGAAGAAACTACTATGCATGTCCATGGCCAAGAAAAAGGCCACAACTCGGTTAAAATGTCATTTGAGTTCACGAGGAATAAATTAGTTTTTGATATAAATTAGCGATCCAAACTTCCACAGTTGTGCACAATAGTCTAGAACTTTAGCATAGAAGTTTGCCACGCTTGTTTGACATTCACTGATCAAGTCATCAACGTGCATAGATGTGAGACCACATTTTAGCATAAGTAATTCGACACGAAATGTTGATAAAAATGTTAAGTAAGAGTATTACCAATGTATTGAAGTAGCTAAAGAGAAGGTCCTATTTTTAAAAAATAAAAAAAAGGAAAAATAAAAAATCAATGAGCAACACCTTGACCATTGAAATTTTACGGGAAAAGTACCAAAGTAATAAATCTATTATCTTCGTACCAATTCAGTTATAAACCTTTCAATTGGACTAATTTAGTCATAAGCTTTTTCACATTAACACCAATCCAATCCATCCAGCTAATTTAAGCAGAAAATTGCTGACGTGGACGTCGACCTTTCAATATGGTACGGTTAGTAATGACGTGGATAATTTTTTAAATTTTTTTTAATTTCTTATGATTTTTTTTGCTTTTGTTTTTTCTTTCCTTTCCTTTCCTTTTTTTCGGCGAGGTCTAGGCAAGGGCGCAGGGGCCCTCGCCTATGGTCGGTTGGTAAACTCGTCGGCCCAAAGTGTAATAAAAAAGAAAAGAAAAATTAATAAATATTAAAAAATTTAAAAAATATTAAAAATTTGTCTACGTCAGCGCCGACTATGTTTGCATAGGATGCCTAGCATTTGCATATGCAATTTTCGGCCTAAATTAGCCGGATGGACTAAATTGGTATCAACATGAAAATGTTTATAACTAAGTTAGTCCAATTGAAAAGTTTATGACTGAATTGTACAAATACAATAGGTTTATGACCTTTTTGGTACTTTTCCCGAAATTTTACGGTTGACAAAACATTCACCAAAGTTCGAACTCTCCCCCTAAAGAGAAAATTGTCTAAAAAATCATAAAACTATTGCACTTTTGCCAATTCAGTTCTAAACCTTTCAATTTTGCCAATTAAGTCCTTAATCTTTTGACATTTTGCCAATTAAGTCCATCCGACCAATTTTTTAAATAATATTATAATAGTTTTTCAATTTTTATTATTTTTTCCTTTCTTCTTCCTTCTTTTGCTGGTGACCAGCCACTGGCCATGCCCGGGCGGGCTGGCCTCGCCTGGGCGAAGGTCAATGTCCCTTGCCATAGGTGAGGCCCGGCGAGGCGAGGGTGAGCCCTGGCGAAGGCTACGCACTCCCGATTTTGGCGAGGGTCGTTGGCGACCCCGCCAGCCATGCCGACACCCCCACCGAATAGGGGCGACGGCCACAGGTGGGAGGATTGGCTTGGTTTTTTTTAGCTCTTTTTTTTCTTTTAAAATTTTTTAAATCTAATTTAAATAAATTTAAAGTTAAAATTTGTCTTTGGAAGATATTGTCCTTCACCGGCTTAGATCATGCTCTTTTTTGAAATTGCCACGGTCATTTGAGGTTCTTTTTTGAAATAAGATCCGCTTTAGGCTCTTATTCATGAAAATGAGGGCGCTTCATATTCTTATTTGATATTTTCCCCGTACTTAAAGTTGGAAAAATGAATTTCTCAACTTAGAAAAGGAAAAATATTTTCTTGAAAGAAAGATTTCCCCTCTGTCAAAATCGAGCACGCCCCGCTACCCCGTCAAAGTTGGACCCCGCCTCCCCCCCGTGAACAGCCCACGTGTGTGTCGGCTCGCCCAAAATCACCGGAAATTTCGCGGAGTGGCGCACGTGGGAAGCGGGGACTCCACCCCCCCCCCCCCCCCTCGGGGGGCAACGGTCGCGTGGGCCGAGCTCACGCGAGACCAATTCATGCGGACCGTCGGATCATTCGCTATGTCAATTCAAATCCGCCCGATCCGATGTTCGCCGTTCCTCCCGGGTTGGGAAAAAAAAAAAACACCAGGAATTAATAGGAGAAGAAGAAGTAAATGTTGACTTGAAGTTCTCACAAAATATATAAAAAAAATAAAAAAAAAACAACATTTGCGACCGGCAAGAAACAAACAAGAAAGCGGGAAACTTCAAATTAAGGGGAGGGGACAATTGGTTCACACGTTCCTTGGTCGGCCTCGACCTTCGCGTACCTTTCGCCCTTCCGTTTTTGGTTCGTCTCGCGAGTTCCTAGGGTTTCTCCGCCACCGCCGATGGAGGAGGTTAGGGCAAGCTCCGCCTGGGTGGCCAGCCGCGCCTCCCACGTCGTCGTCGACTCCTCAGGTTCCCTCCCCCTCCCCTCCCTTTGACTCCGCCCCCTTCGTTTGTTCTTTCTTCCTTTTTTTTTCGGGTTTTTATTTTGGGGGCTACGTGTGTGTGTGTGTGCATGCATGCGACAACCTGGGCCGGTGGGCGCTTGCGCAGGGATCGAGAGGGTGGTGGAGACCATCGGGGACTCGATTCCGAAGGTGGAGTGGGATTTCGAAGGGATTCACTACTTCGACGGTGGCCCTCTCACCGTTCAGTACCTCTTCGTCGTGGATGCTCTCAACTTCTGCTTCTGGCCTGGTAAATACTGGTTTGTTTGTTTTTTCTATTTTTTTCCTATTGTTTTGTGCGGATGTTTCGTCTGGGTAGTGTTCTTGGTGTTTGCTACGATTTCCGGGAGATTTTTTTCCGGATGTCGTGCGGGTGGTCCTGAAGGAATGTGGGGGTGGATGTTGCGGTGTAGCCCTGTTCTTTTTTTTTTTTTGACTGGCTCTGTTTCGGCCTTCAGGGTCGTTCGGTTAGCGTTGTGGGCTCGTTTCGATAGCCCGACTGCCGGCATTGCCCGGTGAATTGCGTTTGCTAATCGGGGCTTTTTTTATTAGTAGGAATTGGTAACTGGTTAAGAGAAATGGAAAAAGAGATTGAAGGAAAAACGGCTTGAATATGTATTGGTGACTTAAAACAAGTTCACATATTGAAGAAAATAATGTCTTTTTTTTGCATACTACGAGAGCGACATTACAGTTGACTTATTTTTTAGTTATAATTCGTGAATAAGTTTTCCCTGAATGATTGACGTGGTCGTCACAGGTTTGAGCAATGGGAGCCTCTTTTAAAATTCAGGAGAATGCCTCCTTATTTCATTATTTTGGTCAAAACTCGTATGGCAGGAAGGGAAGCTCCTGGCTTGGATGTACTATGATGTGCTTCTTTTATAACAATTTCCAGAGTGTTCGATACACAATAGGCTTTTGCTTCTATTGGGGTTACATTAATGATTTTATGTTGCAAAGAAGTAGGTATGGAGAAATGTCGAAATTTGTGCGATATACTCAAAGATTTATAGCTCTCCGGTAACATTATTTCTTTTGAGCACCTAAACATCTGAGGAAGCTTGTTGCTGATTAATCAACAAGCTTCTTGAAAAAGCACCTGTAGGAGTCGCTGTTTTTGCCATTTTAGAGTTGCCTTGCGGACATATTCCGTAGCAGATTAACTTCTCCTTTCTTTTCTCTGTTATTTAGAGAAACTGTGTGTTGACCCTCTCTTGGCACTGTGAGGATTGATCTGAACTCTGAATGAAATGATGTTTTGCATCTTATTCTTTTAGTGCGTTAAGATCCAAAGACCAACGAATATATCGAAAGATGAAAGGATACATATATCTTGAACTGAAAATAGTGAAAATAGAATAATGGAACAAATATCTCCTTGAGAGCAAGGGAAATGGAAGCAGAGTATAGAGCACCTTGCAGAAATATGCATATTTGCTTAGTGGTTGCATGTGGACTGTAACATTTTATTTACACTCAGGAAGAGTGCTGATAGTTTTAATCATACATGGCATTTTGCACATTAAAAGGGCATGTATTTTGTTCTTAATAACTTGTAAATTGCCAAAACTTTTGCTAAATTTGCAGGAGAGGACAATTTAGTTACATTACTAGATCAAATAACTTGATGGTGGTGTGGATTATTGAATAGGAAATGGCATGATTTTTCAACCTTTATTAACATCTCGTCTCACTTGTTCATGTGTAATAGACAAGGATTTGAGTTATGATCATCTGGCTTTGGGGCTGAAGGAAGCTCTGGAAAAAGACAAATCTGCATTTGATGCTGATCGCCTACAAAAGTACACTGGTACTTTGATTTCCTCTTTTTCTAGTTCCAGTGCTTCCCATCATACCATGATCCATAACATTGCCATTTATATGTATTTGTATATTGTTCATGTGATTTTACAAGAAGATATTTGATCCTATTGGTGTTGATACGCTATGAATTGATTTATTTAGCCATTGTGCATTGATTTGCTGTATTTTGTAACGTCTCATTTCATGGGTGGTTCTCTCCACTATAGGTTTTACAATAGGTTGGTGAATCCAATCCAATTAGCAAAACAATAATTAGTAGATTCTGGTAGTAGCGGTTGCGAGCTGTTAGGTTTCCTCCTAATTATAACTGTTCGCTTGAAGGAAAGCAAAGGTTCATCTTTGAAGCAATCTATAAACACTTCAGCACGGGCAAAGTCAAATAACAAGATAAATTGTGGGCAAGATAATCCTCGAATTTTTATATATCTTTGATTTGTTGTTTTTTTCACATAACTTGTATTAATTGAACTGAACTTTGGGAATTTGTACTGAATTTTGTGATCAAAATTAAAATTATTGCTTTAAACTTCAACTCCTCAATAGGCTTTCTAGCTTTGCTCATTCCTCATGGTTAAACATTATGTGCTATGATAGGATGAGAATCCTAGGACTCATATTTACTCCAGTGTATATTTGTATATGCCTAGCAGCCGGGCAGATTTTCTCTGCTTAAGATAGTTTCGGCTGCATCTTCTCTAGAGGAGACTTATAATTGATTAATTATGCATGAGACGAGATTTTAGTACATATCATGGCAATTCCATTTATGCAGGCTTGTTCTAACTAATAATCAATTGATGAAATGGTTCACTGACTTAGGTCCCCAGTTACGTGAGTTGTTGAAGTGGCCCAGGCCCCTACCTTTGGAGGACGAGCGGCTTCGTTTACTGCGTGAGGTATACTTGATTTGAAATGATTGGAGTATTATATTCAGCTCGATTTGTGTCTTGTTCTTATTTGTTTGTTTATCAATTTGGATTTTATATCTACTTTTGATGGTAGAATTTCATGTATATGATATCTTGAAGTTTCATCTTGTAGGTTGGACATGAATTAGAAAGAAGCTTTAATGGTAAAGCGTCGAATCTTGTGAAGTCATGTGGGAAATCAGCAGGAAAGCTTGTAGCTCTTGTTGCCCGTCACTTTCCTGGTAAAAAGATTGTATTGTTCTATCAGTTGGCTATTCTTCTAGACTCTACTGAAACTATGAATGTGTACTTTTTAAATGATATTTTGCGAAAGGGAAACATTTGTTTTATAATATCATTCAATGCAAATGTCAAAGCTAACCATATTACTTTGCTAGGATTTCGAGACCATTCAGTGTATAAAGGCCACCAAGTTTTCTTGTATAAGAGAGCTCAGATATTTGCAGCGGATCTATGGGGTGCATTCAAGGGCCAGGGATATGGTGAATTTCATGATATTGGTTCGATTACTATCTTTGCAGACTACATTGTTCCAGCTGTGCTTCGACAGCTAGGAGTCCTAAAATATGATTCTGCCCTGACAAGCACCATTGAGGCTAACAATGAAATAGTTTCTGGCACTGAGGAGGAAGTCGAGTTGCGAGCTTGTTCTATATATGCTGTGGAGAAAATGAGAGAGCTAATCAGTAGAAAATTGGGAAAACAGGTAATCACTTCATTCAGCTTTATGTTTTTACCCTTTCAGCTTTTATTCAACTACGGCATTTTGTGAATGAAATTAATATTTTCTGAATCATTCTATGGTTAGATGATTGTCTAGTAAGTTTTACTATTTAACAATTTGGATTACTTCTATTAATTTAGATCAGATGATTATTAAGTGATGAGAAATGTATCTGGTGTATCAAGGCAATGTTGACCACTTTCATGCGTCGATATCAATTTACGAACATAATAGTTGTTGAACTTTCATTTAAAGAGACAGAGGTTGAGCGGCCAAATTTAAGAGCAATTGTTAACATCTACAATTGGACCACGAGATGATTGGCATTGTCTTCATGGCACAGGCTTGGCTGCTGCTGGTGTAGAAATTGATTCAACTGACAATTTTTTCCGTATATACTAGAATTTGTGAATATGTTGTCCAGCGGCTAAGTGAAGTTTTGCTAAGCTACCTGGAAGATAAAGAAGTGCACTAGCGTTAATTCAATTAATAGTCCACGTTCTTTATTTTTTTCTCTAGAAGATCAGGACTGTTTACATGCAACTAACAATAAAGAAAACATTCCTTTTCTAGAGCACCTTTTCAACTCATCTTTTATATTTCCTTAGCGGAAGGTGTCTTCTCTCAGGTTCTAAGCGTGGAGTTAGATCTTTGGCTTTGGTCTTGCGGTGTCCAGAGCCCATCACTCCGGCACCATCGAACACTTTCGATATACTATTGATCGGATCTCAACAGCCTTCCTGCTCTTGCATATTTAGCTACGGCTCCTTAGATATTTTGTTTGATACCTGCCAAGGTTGCTTAGTGTTTGCTTTTTCCTCTCCTTAATCTATTGGAGGAAAGGTCTCTCGTTTAAATTTTGCATAGCTTATAGGTTTTAACCTGTTCTAACTGATGTAAGATATGGCTTACAGGTTTTTGTGCATACCCTGTGTGATACTTTTGGCGTTGTTTAGAGGAATCCAAGCTATAGTATCATCTTTGGGCTTTCGTTGCATTGTTATACGAAGGAAAAAACATTAATTGATCTCTCTTTTGACCCAAAAAGAACAAAAACACGAAAACAAAAATCAATTGATTTCTCCTCCGACTATCTATTAGAGTGGAATTTTTCTTTCTTGCGAGCTATGTGCATTATCATTAGGAAGAAATATGAGTGAACCAATGAGGCATGCTTGGTCCTAGGAGAGGGTTTTTGGGTTATTATTGCTGATGATATGATGGAGCAGCAGATGTATCTATATCGGATTGTGTATTTGATTGGCCTTTCTCAGTAAGCAGCTCACCCATTATTCAACCAAGGTACAGAGGTTGTCCAGAAGTAGCATATTCTTTGCTGTCACAGTTCTACTTATACTTAGTAAATATGGAATAGGAAGAGGTGCAAGCACATATGGTTTGCCCAAGCATTGTAATTTTGGCCACCTAAGCAACGACTACATAGTGGCACTAAGGTTCTTTGTAATAGGTAGATTCCCATCATAAGTGCACTTCAGGACATCTGGCTTCCTGACTAGCCGAGGCCCAACTGGAATTTTGTTCTTTGGACGAATATCCTGCAATAAATACACTTTCTTAGGCGGTATACCATCTGGACTTTCTGAAAGCGATCCGAATCTGTATATGGAATGATAGGCAAGAAAAAACTAATGGAAGATAGACTTTATGCAATGTTTCGCGATATTAGTTGCGGTGGACTAAAGCGAAGCAAAGAACCAGGAAATCGAGTGTACTTTGATGGATGAAACGGTGGTGGAAGATGGAAAGGAATATACATCCAGCCATCAAAGTTATTTGGTAGTTTACACGATCTAATATGTACCAGTGGAGTAGCATGTTTCATCTACTTTCTATTTGTTGCCTCATTCGCCATCTTATGAGTGAACTATCCGTAGATTCTAGTTGAATGCGGTCTTTATCAGAATGCATTGAGTTCATCATTGAGGATGAGGGGGAGCTTAGTTTGTGATAGAAGTACCTGATCAAAGATGGATGTGGGGATTGCAAGTGTTGCTAAAGCATTAGGGGAATCCACAATTCCAGATATCCTTCCTTCACATGGGCAGCAGGATAGTAGAAGATACATCTGTGAGGGATATGTGATTCTGTCAGTCACGCTGGAGAGACAGTAAAAGATTACTGTAATTTGAGGGGTTGGGAGTCTTTGTTTTCTGTTCTTTTTGGTATTGATCTGATTCACCATGGATTACTTGATCATAGCCGTTGAATGATGTGGACCCGAAGTGGGACCCATCGCAAGATTCAACCGGTCCCCGGTGGATCGGACCCACGCGAGAATTTTCAGCATCCGTGTTTGATAGCGATTTTAGGTTTTTGTAAGAAATGTGCAAACCTGCTCCTTGGAGTAGCCGAATTTGGAGAGGTAGTCAATCGCGTTGAGCACGGCCCGCTTGTATGCGACGCTGGCATCGAGGTAATGCTGCCTCCCGCTCTCATCGACACTGATCCCCTCAAACACCAGCCATTCCGAAAATCTTGGCTCCACCGGTCCTATCTCGAAGATTGGGTTTACATGGAGAAGGGTCGGTCCCATTGGTGTCAGGTACTCTTTCATCCCTCCCCTGATGATTTCGCATCTAATTGACAGTAAAGCCAAGGATACCGTTTAGCACCCAAAAGTAAGGAAGACTTAACTTTAATGTGTTGCGTGATGAATGAGAGTACATTTGGATCGAAAAAAGGTTAGTCTAAGTCTGAAAAAAGAGTCACAGGTGATGCTCTGTAAATCATGAGCCTGCAGACATCAGTCCTTGCCATGAGCATTATGATTGGATCTTGAGCATTTACTACCGAAGCTATACAAGTTTCTACTTGCCAATGTCTCAAATTCCATGTGATTAACACAAATTTCTTTAGAAGTAAATAAAGTTTCAACTGTTTCAAGTTAAAAGAGTACTTTGTTACTTCTCAGATTTTTCTTCTTGACCATTGCTAGGGGTGCTATTTTACGCTATTAAATCAATAGTCATTGCTTCTGTTGAACTGTAATGTTGTGTAATGCAAAGAGATGAGAAATGATCCGTACTTGAGCTCTAAAAAGCCACTCATCTCGATAGCTCCGCAGAAGGAGACCTCACCATCACCCTGAGAGAAGTGCATATCGCCAGTGCTGAGGTTTGCTCCTTCCACAAAAACTGGGAGATATACCTTTGAACCACTACTTAAATTTTTGATGTCGCAGTTTCCCCCATTTTCTCTTCCCGGAATTGTTCTTGCCGCTTCCCTCGCGATCCTTTCCCATTCAGGAGTGCCTCCTTGAATCTATAGGATGGTTGATATCGGGACTGATATTAAGTTTTTTTTTTTGGACGGAGGGACTGATATTCAGTTTAAGCAGTTGGTAAATGACTATTTTGCGGATTACATTACCCTATGCATGCTTTAATAAGAACGGCTTTCTATTGATTGCATCGATTGCTACGAGTTAGTTAATTGTATCGTACCTTGCCGAGGACGCAGCCTTTGGTTGATGGCAAGTTTGCTAGTGGCCTTGAATGCAAAACCTCACATAGCTTGAGTGTCTGCAGTCCATTTTCTTCAACCTCTCTTTCCCTGTCGTTCCATATGTTCAGGAGTTCCTTAGATGGTGCAGTTCCAATAATTCCAGGGTGAGTCAACCCTGGAAACCTCACACCTAATATCCATGTAGGAAATTGTCATTCCCCAGGCAAATTGACAACGATACATTCAACATGTTACTTTGCACTAGGCATTAGGTTTGAAAGAGTTAAATCATGTAGAATTAGGATATATACCCGGTATTTGGGGTGAGTATGCATAGATTCCTTCGAAATACCATATAGCTTTGGTTGCACATGGGAAATGATCTGTCAGAAACCCGCCTCCATTTTCTCTGTCGAATGTTGCTGTGAAACCCCATTCATCGCCCGGTAGAGGACCCAGGTTGCATATCTCGACAGCGAGAAGATCACCCGGCTTCGCCGGAACTCCATCTGTATCCAGAACTCTGATCGGTCCACTCAGGTAATGAACCTGGATTGAAGTAAATGACCAGAATCAACAACTCTACTGAGGTATTCACAAGACTTAAAAGTTCCCCCCAGAAAGTCTCTCATAGCACACAGTCTCGACTCTTTTTTAATTTTCAGGTGTCTTTTTATTGCTTCACCTGATTTTGAAAGCAAAGAGTTGGCAATTGTTCTTTAGCTTTCTTAGGATTGGCCGGCACTTACTGTAGTCAGATCTATGGATTTCACGTCGAGTGCGGAGTCATCGTCTTTTATAGCCCCTCCAGTCCAGTCTACCATCTCTATCCTAAAGAGCTCGCCGCTCGTAACCTCCGCGGCAGCAGGTATTTTGGGGTGCCAGCGGTTGTGGAGAGGCAGTTTTTGGTCCCATGGCTTCTTTGTCAAGTCTATTGGCACTACTAGTCTTGGTGTTCGAGGAGCCATTCATGGGGGTGTGGATGAAAAGTTGCAGAGAGTGAAGTATTTGAGAAGCGATGATTGGGGACTTTGTGTACCAAATGAAGTTTGTGATTCATTGCGACAGAGGAGCTTTGACTTCTCCCTCTAAGATTGGCAGATGACAAAATTGGAGTGACCCCGTTTCAGATGGTCCACAGGGAAAAGTCACCACAGGGTGAAATGGACCCCCTTCATTTTGTCATCATACAAAAAAATAATGCAAAGAATCTCAATTGGGTCAAAGTAGTATATTAGCAAACGGGTCCGACCCGTGCTTAAAAAAAAACAGAGTATGCGTGGCAGTAATTTCCTCAATACAGTAGTAACTATATTGGTGTATGTAGTAAACTACTCTGTGATTTTCGTTAATAACATGGTAACTTTGTGAGCAGATACAGTAAACCACACTGGAGATTCTACTGCAAGAATGGCCATGGTATTGCTTTTTTTAAGAAATTTTATGAGCAGACGGCAAAGAATGTCCGATACACTGAGTGCATTGATACTCACAAAGGAAGCATCATAATGCTTGATGCCCTCGGCGGAGTATTCCTGCGTAATACCGCCGCCGCAGGCATCCACCATCTCGACCCTGAAGAATTCGCCGGCCCGTACTTCGGCGACCGGTGGGATCTCGGGGTGCCACCGGTTGTGTAAGGGAAACATCTGGTCATGTGGCGTCTTCTTCAGGTCTATTGGGATAACCAGCCTTGGACCATGTTGGCCCATTTTTCCTTATTGTCCGCTGGGGAAGCTAGATAAGCTTTATGGAAGTATCTAACCATCAATTTATAGACGTGATTAAGGTAATGAACTAATGATGATTGCTGGTTAATTTGTAGCCATCAGGATGATTAAACAAGCTAACATCCGGAGTCGGCAGCTTAATTATATTTACGGATTCTTAAGCTTTCATCTCGATGGAGCTTTCGGCCGTCCGGCCAATAATTGTGAGGAGTTTTAGTCACAGACAATTGATTTGGTTAGGCTAACTACGTCGTCTTCTATTCACAACGGGTTGAAAATGCTTCTAATCTTTTCTTAATTGAGTTTTCTCTATTGGCTATCCTTCTCTTTCAATGTTTGTCGTTGGTTCTCCTTCTATTGAATATACATTCAATCGTGATCTTCTTCTTTTATCTCCATGTGAGAATTGGATGTAGCATATGGAGTTTCTTGTGCTAATTGTCACCCAATTAGCTAAGCCTTGTTTCTTCAGGGATGTTAAGGAAATGTTCTTATTACACTCAGTTTAATCTACTTAATAAATAATGTTTCGATCTCGAGAATATCGATAATACGAGAAAAATAATAATGCAGACCTTGACCTTTCAGCTGTTGATCAATTGAGTCATTGTCGTTTAATTTTGGTCTCAGTTAAGTCCTTAACGTTTTTATAAAGATTTAATTGGCTTCCCTCTAAGATAATAGTGACCATAATAGATCGATTACGTCACGTCAACATAGCTATATACTACACCTTCTTCGGCTCCGATGGTCCCGAGGAAAAGTCACCACAGGACTGAAATGGACCCATCACTTTGTCATTATCCAGCAGAACTAACATTCCAAGCTTCTCAATCGTGTCAAATTAGTAATATTCACCAAGTACTCCAAGCTCTCTCCTGAAAACCCCAACAAGAAGAAGAGTTTTCTGAGCTTGGGATGCCTCTAACGAATGATCCACTCGGAATCAGATTGAAAAAGGAAGAAGAAAGAGTTTCCTAACTCCAGAATGAATTAATATTGATCTTATGAAAGCCTCGTTTTAATGATAGGCTGGAAATCAAAAATTCAATCGGACAAGAAAATAAGCAAGAGACGCGATGGGAAAACTAATAGCGAATTCCGAGAACTCACGATGGACATGTCGGCATGCTTGATGTCGTCGATGGTATATTCGTGCGTGATCCCGCCGCCGCTGAAGTCCACCATCTCCACCCTGAAGACCTTGCCGGTCCGCACTTCTGCGACCGGCGGGATGTCCGGGTGCCACCGGTTGTGAAGGGGAAGCGCCTGCTCGTGGGGCTTCTTCTTCACGTCTACGGGGATGACCAGCCTCGGACCATGTTGAGCCATTCCCGTCTTCTCTCCCAATTCAAGAATTGAATGAGTCCACTTGGGGAGCGAAAACCTTATGGAAATGTGGGTATTTCTTGGTACTCAGGAAATGGCACAAGGACTCAAAAAGAGTTGCTTTTAGATATGTAGACTTCGGTGGAAGATATTGAGGGACATTATCGACACCTCCAATGGTTTGATTTTTCTTTCTCTACTAGTGGAAGGACCACTCTATACCGATGGAGATTGGGATGTTGGGAGATCAATTTTGGGGTCACTCTTCACGGGCGAACATCCATGACCTTCTATTCGAATGATACCTACTATGACTTGATATGATTAGACAACAACGACGCCAACAACAACAACCATAACAATGAGCTAGGGCTTTTCATTTCTTCTACACTCATCTTTATATATTGGTATTGGGTGGCCCAGCACTATGTGCTATAAAGGATTGTGATGTTAAAATGGTCTTAGCTCCGATGCCAATTGATGAAAAAGGGAAGCGCGAGGCGAAGATAGGTTTAGAAATCACACAGAAAGGGAAGAGAATCGGATAGCAAGAAAGGGGGAAAGGAAGTAGCGAAAGTTGGAGGAGAAATAGAGAAACGCCAATTCATGTGGTAAAGAAGAAAGGCCAAATACAAAATATTCATTAATCAAATCATCAAGTATAAGTTGTCTCGGCTTTTTCTTAAAAGCAAACCCTAATAAAACACTAGGAAAATAACTCTAAATAAAGAACTTTAGTAGAAACATATATCCTTAATCATAGACAATGTCAAAACAACTAAATTAAACAAAGAAACAAATTGATAAATTGACGGTTGGAGAAACCCGTCCTACGTTAGATCGTTCGCTTTATTCTCTTCTATCGCCTTGAACTTGAGTGATATTCGATCGTCCCACAAAACGTCGGGTTCTCAATTCGTCTGCAACATAGACCCAAAAACATAAGAAGCATTCAAGTCCTTAGGATAGTTTGATCTCAAAACTCGTGGGCTTTTCCATTTTGAACAGAAAAATTTAATTGATAATATGCTCGGTGATATGTAATCAAATGTCTTTTCAGTATTACTTTTTGCATCGTGGCTCTCCATGATTCTCTCCAGAGAAAAGGATAGCCAAAGCCAAGATGCTCGGCGACATGTACTCGATAAGACTTTCATCATCTCTCCGTCGCTAATGTCGATTTCACTTGGTTGTCTGTATTCGATTCAACATCGTACACATATGCTGCTGATGGGAACCACCATCCTGAATAATTGCAAGTTCATCTTGAGATGACAAGAGCTTTAGTGCTTTTGAAAACTGAATGACAGCCTTTTTGCTTGACCAATCGGATGAAACTCGCCACGATCACATTCGTTCCCAAACCTCAGCCTTTTTGCGACAGAAAGATGCTGCTATCTAATCTCTGATGTACTCCCACTGGTGGGACATGCATGTCGGAGTCTTAGGATTATGCCGACAATTGTGCTTACAATGTGCTAGCTCGGAAGTTTTTGTGATACAAACATTACTTTGTTATACCAATTTGAGATTTTTGATAATATTAGCCTTTAATTATATCATATTAGGTGATGTTGCTCTTGATTGTACTTGTTTAGTGAATTGTTTTTTGTTGGCAATTTGTCACTGTGGTTGCAGTTTACCTACCAACTTTAGTAATAATGGAAAATGATGTCTGTTTCACCCTTTCCTCATAGCCATAGTAATGATTCTAACCTTTTCTATAGAGAATTTGAAAAACTGTCCTAACTTTTATGCACAAATCAAATACCCTCCATAGTTTTGGAAAGCCTACAAAAACCATCCTCGCTTTTGCAATTTCATTTCTTGCATCTTACATCAGTTGTGATTTTAATCTACTCTCTAAATTATGTCATTTTTTCCAACTTTACCCCCCGGCTCGCCACTTGAAAAACTATCTACCATGAAAATCCATCTATCCAAAACACTAATCCTACCCAACGACTACAACTTCGCCCCTATCCTTCCTACGCCGCACACGATTGTCGCGTTGCCAAACCCCCACCACGCCGCCTCAACTATCTCCTTCTATCCCGCCTTGAGCTCAAGTGTCCATTGCCGCCCAAATTGCATTGTCCAGAAGTAATATATTTCTTGCTTTCACATGTCTACTTATACTTCGAAATGTAGAACAGGAAGAGGTGCAAGCACATATGTTTTCCTCAACTATTGTGATTTTGGCCACCTGAACGAGGACTACATAGTGGCACTAAGGTTCTTTGTTATAGGTAGATTCCCATCATAAGTGCACTTTAGGACATCTGGCTTCCTGACTAGCCGAGGCCCCACTGGGATCTTGTTCTTTGGACGAATATCCTGCAATAGATACACTTCTTTAGACGGTATGCTATCCGGACTTTTTGAAAGTGATCTGGATCTGCTTACAGGTCGATAGGCAAGAAAAAACTCATGGAAGATAGACTTCGTGCAATGTTTGGCGGTATTAGTTATGGTGGACTAAAGCGTAAAAAAGAACAAGGAAATCGAATATAGTTTGATGGATGAAAAGGTGGTGGAAGATGGAAAAGAATATACATCTACCCATCAAAATTATTTAGCATGTTCCATCTAGTTTCTATTTGTTGCGTCATTCGCCGCTTTATGAGCGAACTATCCGTAGATTCTAGTTGAATGCGGTCTTTTATCAGAACACGTTGAGTTCATCATCGAGGATGAGGAGGAGCTTAGTTTGTGACAGAAGTACCTGATCAAAGATGGACGTGGGGATTGCAAGTGTTGCTACAGCATTAGGGGAATCCACAATTCCAGATATCCTGCCTTCACATGGGCAGCAGGATAGTAGAAGGTACATCTGTCAGGACATGTGATTCTGTTAGTCACACTAGAGAGACTACATAAGATTACTTAAATTTGAGGAATGAGTTTCTGCTGGGAGCCTTTCTTTTTGTTCTTTTCTGTATCGATCCGATTCACCATGGATCACATGGTCACAGCCGTGGAATGATGTGGAACCCACCGCAAGATTTAACCGGCCCCTGATCGGACCCCAAGCAAGAATTTTCTGCATCTGTGTTGAGTAGTGATTTAGGTTTCTATGAGAGATGTGCAAACCTGCTCCTTGGAGTAGCCGAATTTAGAGAGGTAGTCAATGGCGTTTAGTACTGCCCGCTTGTATGCGACGGTGGCGTCAAGGTAATGCTGCCTCCCGCTCTCATCAACGCTGATCCCCTCAAACACCAGCCATTCCGAAAATCTCGGCTCCACCGGTCCTATCTCGAAGATTGGGTTCACATGGAGGGGAGTCGGTCCCATTGGTGTCAGGTACTCTTTCATCCCTCCCCTGATGATTTCACATCTAATTGACAAAGAAGCCCAGAATACCGTTTAGCAACCAAAAGTAAGGAAGACTTAACATTAATGCGTCGCATGATGAATGAGAGTAAATTTGGAAAGAAAAAGGTTAGTCGAAGTCGAGAAATAAAATCTCATAGGTTATAGATGCTCTATAAATCATGAGCCTGCAGATATCAGTCCTTGCCATGAGCATTGTGGTCGGATCTTGAGCATATATTACTGAAGCTCTGCGGTTTCTGGTTGCCAATGTCTCAAATTCCATGTGACTAACACATATTTCTTTAGAAGTAAGCGGAATTTCAACTGTTCAAGAGTACTTTGTTACTTCTCGGTTAGTTTATGAATTTTGCTTCTTGACAATTGGTAGGGGTGCTATTTTAAGCTTTTAAATCAATAGTCACTGCTTCTATTGAACTATAATGTTATGCAATGCGAAGAGATGAGAAATGGAACGTACTTGAGCTCTAAGAAGCCACTCATCTCGATTGCCCCGCAGAAGGAGACCTCACCATCACCCTGAGAGAAGTGCATATCGCCAGTGCTGAGGTTTGCTCCTTCCACAAAAACTGGGAGATATATCTTTGAACCCCTGCTTAGATTTTTGATGTCGCAGTTTCCCCCATTTTCTCTTCCCGGAGTCGTTCTTGCAGCTTCCCTCGCGATCCTTTCCCATTCAGGAGTGCCTCGTTGTATCTAAAGGATGGTTGATATCGGGACTGATATTCAGTTTAAGCAGTCGGTAAATGACCATTTTGCGGATTACATTACCTTGTGCATGCTTTAATATGAACGGCTTTCTATTGCTTGCTTCGATTGCTACAAGCTAGTTAATTGTATCGTACCTTGCCGAGGACGCAGCCTTTGGTTGATGGTAAGCTTGCTAGTGGCCTCATATGCAAAACCTCACATAGCTTTAGTGTCTGCAGTCCATTTTCTTCAACCTCTCTTTCCCTGTCGTTCCATATGTTCAGGAGTTCCTTAGATGGTGCAGTTCCAATTAATCCAGGGTGAGTCAAACCTGGAAACCTCACACCTAAGATTCATGTAGAAAATTGTCATTCCCCAGGCAAACCAATACAGTAATTTCAACATGTTACTATGCTTCAGGCATTAGGTTTGGAAGAGATAAAGCATGTAGAATTAGGACATATACCTGGTATTTGGGGTGAGTATGCATAGATTCCTTCGAAATACCAGATAGCTTTGGTTGCACATGGGAAATGATCTGTCAGAAACCCGCCTCCATGTTCTCTGTCGAATGTTGCTGTGAAACCCCATTCATCACCTGGCAGAGGACCCAGGTTGCATATCTCGACAGCGAGAAGATCGCCTGGCTTCGCCGGAACTCCATCTGTATCCAGAACCCTGATCGGTCCACTCAGGTAGTGACCCTGGATCAGAAGTAAACAACCAGAATCAACAACTCTACTGAGGTATTCACTTACAACAGGCTTAGAAGCTCCCTACAGAGAGTCTCTCATAGCTGGTAGTCTTTAGCCTTGCTTAATTTTTGAGTTGACTTTTGATTGCTTCACCTGATGTGTAAGCAAGAGTTGGCAACTCTTATTTTAGCTCGCTTCGCATTGGATGGCACTTACTGAGGTCAGATCAATGGATTTCACAGTCCAGTTGACCATCCCTATCCTAAAGAGCTCACCGCCCGTAACCACCATGGCCGGCGGGTCTTTCGGGGTGCCAGCAGTTGTGGAGAGGCAGTTTTCGGTCCCATGGCTTCTTTGTTCAAGTGTATTGGCACTACTGATCTCGGTGTTGGAGGAGCCATTCATGGGTGTGAATGAAAAATTGCAGAGAGCTTACAAATGAAATTTGTGGTTCATCAGGACAAAGGAGGTTTGACTTCTCCAAGATTGGTGGAAATCGTGAATTCAATTAGACCAGAAGACAAGTGAGAGACGTGACGGGGGAGAATCAATAGCAAACTGGAGAACTCACGATG